TCCAATGTCTATCCCTGGTTGTGGACCCACTTCTCATTCTAGTGGATTGGAACTAAGTCCTCCTTGGAGACGACAATAATTATAATTATAATTCTATATAAAATTATTAATTTATAATTATAATTGATTATTAAATAAATTAATATATGTATTTGGCCTTTCAGATCTACTGACATTAATCAGTCGGTGCATTTCTCTTTCTCTGGTGGGTTTGATACCCATCCCTTGCAAAATATGTTAAATATATATATATATAATATTATAAATAAAAATACAAATAAATAAATAATTAATATATTATATTATAAAATTATAATATTATGTAACGTTATTTTATATCATATTTGATCTTGTTTTGCCCTCAAATGAATATATACTTAAAAAAATTCTCAATTGTTATGTTCTTTTCAACATAAACTATTATAACAAATAGAATTATAAATATGATTTTAATACAATTTTAATATTATCTGTTATAATAAAAGCAAGAGCAACAGGCAATTTTTTTTTTCTTTGTTGTGCAGTGAGTACGTCAGTACGTGGTACATTACATCTTCAAACTAACACCAGCTACACCACCAGAAAACAGTAACAGATTTATTATTTTGGTCAAATGGGTGATACCAACTGAATAGGGATAGCAAAATGCGTCAATCTCTGTGGGTAGAGCAGGGGTTTTCATTAAGGAGGCACAGGGGCAAGAGAAGTATCTCTTCTAGTGCCTTAAATTGGCAGGAACAAGGATGTCATAGCTCTCCGCCGTCGTCGTTTCGCTGCCCTAATTGCCACAAGTCGTCAATGACAATTTAATGTCCAGGTTTTATTTCAGATGCCCATCAATTCTTGAAATCTTATCAATCTGTTACACTATTTCAAATATATAAGAGAGTTAATCAAATAATAGTACCCAAATACTCATCCTCTCAAAATAATAAGTTTTTATGTTGATCAACAATTTAAATAATTTAATAATAATTTTTTTAAGTATAATTAAAAATTTTAAATTGAAATTACATAATATATATATAAATGTTAGTGAATTAAGAAAAAACAAAAAACAAAACCTAACAAAAATGATACCTAATTATCTTCTTGTGGTGGTACTACAACATTATCTTCTTCATCAAATACCTAATTAAAAACGTGGGCTGTAATCAGTTAGGTTTACTTTAACTAATCAAACCCACTTGTTAATTAAAACTGTTTTGTGCGCTAACACCCATCCCTTTAGCCATCGACCAGCGTCATCTTCATATCCATTCAAAATTGGAGGTAGAATTAATTAGTTCAGTACTACTAC